ATCTATCTATCTATCTATCTATCTATCTATCTATCTATCTATCTATCATCTATCTATCTATCTATCTATCTATCTATCTATCTATCTATCTATCTATCTATCTATCTATCATCTATCTATCTTCCCCCTTGCAAGCATCTTCTACTGTGTAATATCCTTCTGATGCAGACCCCACAAAACTAGGGTGAAGATTTCTTCTCTTTCTCCTTCTCTTTAAATATTACGGGGGTGAAATTGCAGAGCTGACTTTGAGGATGCAAAAGAGGAAGAAAAAAAAACCCCTAGATGTAACTTCCTTTCCCCACCCTCTTCTTAACTCCCCGGCTTGTTTTCTTCCATTTCTTGTCTCCTTTCATTTCCTACTCTCTTTGCAACTGCCGGTTTAGTCATAGATTTTGTTTCCTGCTTCTTTTGCTCTGTCTCGCCTTACTCTGCACACATAGCCACCTCTCTGCTTCTCTTGTTGACAATTCCTCCTTGGGGGGTGGGGGGAAAGCACTCCAGGCTCCATTGAGAGAGAAGAAAAACACAGCCAAACTCGGGCACGCCCCAAGCAGTTGTTTAATTTTTTCCTTTTTTCCTTGCGGGCTCCTAGGAAAGGAACTGAATGCAAAGGGTCCTAAAGAAAGGGAGAACAGCAGAGTAGCTGGAGGTGTAGCCAAGTTTTCTTCACCATCAGCTTGCAACCCAGAGACACCTTCTGGCTAGTAATCACTTAGAGGTGGACGATTTGACCCATGACTTACTACATGGCAAATTTTACTAGGAACCTAGAGCTAAATTCGTTACGCTCTCGTTAATCCAACAGAATCACTCTAGATTAGAAGAAGAACAAAATCTATTTTTTTTTGTTGTCCGATGAAGACAACCATGTGATAAAACTAGTTGTATTGTTGGCAATGGCGTCAAGGAAGATACGAAAGCACCTTCTGGCAAATAGTGCTGTGCATATTAGAGTGGGTGTATTGAACTCATAGGATTGCTGCATTTTTATATGCAACTTGCTCAAAGCTATGGTTGCCAACAAATTGTCATGCCCCTGTCGGAGTCTGAATCCAAGGAGGAAGACGAACAGCTGACAGGGAGGGGCAGTGTGGCTCCATTGGCTGTGGAGGAAACTGGGGAAGGGCAAAGTCCGGCTGGGCAGAGCAGATGAGAGGTAGAGCAAGGGAGAGGGAGTTCAGAGGAAGACCCAGGCCCATCCCCTCTTCATCCTAGGAAATGTAGGGAGGAACGGAGAAGGGAGCAACGTGGGCTGTGTGACTTATGGGGGAGGAAAGGGCCCTGATTCCCTTCATTAGTCACACCTGGGAAGAAAGTTTAAGAGACATGCAGGCTGCGTGCAGCAGCTGCTGGGAGCAAATTTGAATTTATCTTGTGTTGTCTTTGCTTATCTGTGTTCCTGGCATCTTTCCAACCGTGTTGAGTTGTTGCCATGCCTTCATGTCTGAAATTCTTACGCCTGCCCTGCCGGACTAATTACCTCATCTTGCCTTGATTGGACTTATAGTTACAGTTTTTGTTGATCACATTTTGGACTTGAATCTCTGCAGCTGTTCCTGGGAGAGTTTTTCTCCAGCCAGAAGGTAACCAGGACACTGAGGGCAATGTTGGAGATAATAAAAAGATTCCTACTGATTATCTGACTGTGTTGCCTTTGTGCCATGCCCCGGGTTATCACACAAATGTTTAAATACAATACAAAGAAGAGAATGAGCCCCTTTCTAGCACTGATGATGTTACCCAGTTAGGTAATGAAACGTCTGCAAGAAAACAACCAAGCTCAGGAAGCACCGATGATCCCACAGTTCAATCCTGAACTATAAGTATTCTTTTCTCATGGTACAATACTATACAACAAAGAAAGAGAGAATGACTCTAGCAGCTAGAAGAATGGTCAAGTTTCTTTCACATGGGGCTTGAAATATGGGTACACCTTCTGGCTTATAATAATAATAATAATGAGTAGGTTGGAGTCAGTTAAAAGATTGGGTTGTTTGGTCCTTATATCTCACCAATTAAGCAATAGGACATGGAAATATGAATGGCTATTTAGCATGGACAGTTAATAAACTGGTCTGCAATGTTAATCATAGTTTTTTTTGCTTGCGTGGACTCTGGCTGAAATCCTATTTGTTTTCAGAAAGGTGACTTCTATTTTTTTTACCCCCACAGATGCCACCCAGATGAATAATGTCATACCGACATCCCCTCTACTTCCTCAACTGGCTAATCCCCATTCCTTCCCAAGCATGGGACAGATTACAAATCCATATGAACAGCAGCCTCCGGGAAAGGAGCTAAATAAGTATGCATCTCTAAAAGCAGTAGGTAAGCACAGAAAAATGCAGCTTCCTCTTGACTTTGCACATCTTGTATGCAGTTTCAATATCTCATTGGTTTTTAATATTTATTCTGTTAATGGAATGGAATGGAATGGAATGGAATGGAATAGAATAGAATAGAATAGAATAGAATAGAATAGAATAGAATAGAATAGAATAGAATAGAATAGAATAGAATAGAATTCTTTATTGGCCAAGTGTGATTGGACACACAAGGAATTTGTCTTGGTGCAAATGCTCTCAGTGTATATAAAAGAAAAGATACATTCGTCAAGAGTCAATAATCATAAGGTACAACACTTAATGATATCTATGCTATTTATTCTGTTCTAGAAGAAATCTCAGATAGATTAACTTTGCGGGTCCAATATTTATAGGAGTGACATATTACAGGCCACTCTCTTTTACTGACCACAGATGTGTACAGCAACATGGCCATTAAGCAAAGCAATCACTAGGTGAAACCACAACTCTGCTTCCAAAGGTGCTTTTCAAAAGGCAAACTGGACTTTCTTGGGAGTTTTTTTTTTCCCCTTGAAAACATTTTGCTTCTGATCTAAGAAGTTTCTTCAGTTCACTTCATAATTGAAGAAGCTTCCTGGATCAGAAGTGAAATATTTTCAAGGAAAAAAAAAACTCCCAAGAAAGTCCAGTTGCCTTTGGGACAACTATGACTTGGATGATTGAGAATCTCCATAGATACAACTGTGCTTATGGTCTGATTTTTAGCTACCTTTTGTTCTAACCCAGCCTTTGGAGAAGCAAGAAACAGATTCTTCACGAAGAAAAACCCCTCACATTGGGAATTAACTGCCTTCACCAACAGAAAGTCTAGCCAAGAATCCTTCAAGAGGTTAACTGAAACAATGGCCCTTATCATCTCCTTATGATAAACACGAGGCTGTGAGCTCCCAGCCGGGAGGCTGCCAATTAAGTCAGTTCAAACAGAGAAATAGACAAACCTCAGTTCTGGCAAGGCAGTCTTTGTCTCGCAAAACACACAAGGAGCAAACTTTCCTGAAATGCGAATGGTTGTCTGCAGCAATCAAATCACTCCCCTTTCCTCCTATTTATTCCCCAGCCAGGGAGGGGCCATTCAGCGCCCAAGTTTGTTTTGCTTCCCCAGCTGGCCCATTGCCCTCCATTGTTCACCTCTCCTATCTGCTCTGTGCATACGCGCCTCTGGAACAGGCCCCAGCTCTTCCTCCTCCTCACTCATCTCTGACTCCAAAGGCAGCTGCCTCTCTGTCTGGAAAATGCCGGACGGCCCTGGCTCTATCTCTGTGTCCGATGCTAAGCGTCCATCAGAGGCTTCCCCAGGCTCCAGAACTGGCCCAGGTTCTTCCCCAACCTCATCCGAGTCTGCTTCCAGCTCTGTTGGCAGTTGGCAGGCCATACTACCCTTTGCTTTGCAGACCTGCAAATGTCTTAAGTGCAAGGATTGATCTAGCACTGATGGTGTTAGCTAGTTTGGGTAATGAAACATCTGCAAGAAAATAACCTGAGAGAGAGAGAGAGAGAGAAAGCCCCAAGGATCCCTCATTTCAACCCCGAGCTATCAATAGTCTCTTTTTAAAGTTACTTTTTCATTGCTGTGGCAACTGCAAATGAGCAAAATGGCTAAATAAGCAGTCACTATGTGAGAACTTCAGGACCTTGGACAGTGTCAATGGGGTTAATTGGTCTTGGGTGTATGTACTCACAAGCAGAGATGCTGTTTCGCCAGAAGTCTGGAAATGGGAGGTATTTAGGTTTTGTTTGCCCAACGTGCTTGACTCAAACACACATTTTGTAGACTCCAAAACCCAATTAATTCCACCAGTGAATTAATTCACTCTCTCCAGTGAAATCATCCTTGCTGTCTGGTGCCATACGAAGGTGACGGAGGGGCAAAAACGGACATGGGGTGCCTGATGCAATCCTTTGCAACTCTAATTGAAGTAGCATTTTAAAATGATTTTCCCCCCTTTTGTAAAGAAAAGAAGTGGGAAGTGAAGCCCTATATTCCCCAGAATACCAGCAGCTGTGAGGACTAAAAATATAGTTATTGGCCAAACCTCCCCAGTTATCTTGGAATATCTCTTGCGAGTATAGGAAGGAGGAGAGCTGGAGCTGGCTGTATGATTTAAACAGTTCCTAAGAAAACTGGAAGGGTTTAATATTCTAATAATTTTACCCCTTCTAGAGGTGGACATTGATCAGGATATCATTGTCCAGAATATAGAAGAGAACCATTATTCCATCAAAGATTTAACAAACAAATAAAGCATTAAGGAAACAGTTTGGGGTAATGGTCAAGGTGCTGGCCCTAGAAACCAGGAGAACATTAGTTCTAGACCTGCAGCCTCTTTAGGCAGGGAAGCCACCTGGGTGAATTTGGGCCAGTTTATCTCAGCTCTGTCTAGAGTCGCTGTTGTTGGGGGGAAAACAGGACGGAGGAGTATTAGGTGTGCTCACCTTCACGAGTGGAGTTTGTGTGTTTAAATGATAGACAATAGGTAGTAGGTAGATGATAGATAGATCATGATAGATTTCTTTATTTGTCAAGCAAGTATTAGATAACAGGTCTAAGTACAAACATGGTTATGAATACATGAAATGGACACATATAAGAAAAATAAAAAGAAACAATAGGATAGGGACGGTAGGCACATTGGTGCGCTTATGCACGCCCCCTACAGACCTCTTAGGAAAGGGGTGAGGTCAATAGTAGACGGTCTGAGGTTTTTTGGGGTTTGGGGAAGAACCCACAGAATCAGGTAGTGCATTCCAGACACTGTCCACTCTGTTGTGGAAGTCGTATGTCCTGCAATCAAGTTTGGTGCGGTTTACCTTGAGTTTGTATCTATTGTGTGCTCTTGTATTGTTGTGGTTGAAGCTGAAGTATTCATTGACAGGTAGGACATTGCAGTAAATAATTTTATGTACTATACTTAGATCGGACCGAAGATAGATAGATAGAAAACCATCTTGTGTATATATCCATCCATCCATAATAGGAGAGAGAGAGAGAAAGAAAGAGAGAAAGAGAGAAAGAGAGAGAGAGAGAGAGAGAGAGAGAATCATCTTCAGTATATATCCATCCATCCATGATAGATAGATAGATAGATAGATAGATAGATAGATAGATAGATAGATAGATAGATAGATAGATAGATAGATAGTGATAGATAAGCTGATAGTGATAGATAAGCTGATAGGGTTTGCTATTCATATAATTTCTGCCTTTTGGGAAGTTTTGGTTCTTAAAGCGTTTGTTAACTTCTATAATCTGGGACACCGGCAAAGCTGCTCTGCAGGACATGCTTTGGGAAAATAATCCCAAGTCCAAAATTGAAGACCGGATTACACATTCAGGCTATGAAAATGCTGAGCTGAATAGAACACTAGATTCAAACCATTAGGGTGCCCTGAATTCCATTTCAGGCCCATCCCCAGTTTGATCCTGAAAGATGGGTCTATTTCCATAAGTCTGCCCATTGGGGGGTAAAAAGCAAGGGAAGAGAGAAGAATGAAAAAGAGAAGGCAAGTTGTCTTCCAGCCACATCTGGAGGATCGAGGGCCTCTACTTGATTTTCACAAGGCTTTGCCCAACAAATTTGGAAAGTGGGGGGAGGAAATCCTTAACTTTTCAGCAAATTAACTAACCACCTCAATTCCTCAGGACTGGCGGCACAGCTTGGGAGTCCAGGAGCATGCAAATAGAAAGTATTATGTTCACAGAATCTCAGAGGAGTTACCAAAGAGGGAGAGAGATTGATGTTAATTAATGAGGATGCTAAAAGTGGCTAGAGCACCTGTTTCAGCTCTCAGAGGGAGGGTCAGAGCTGAAAGGGCTATTATATGTCTTAGATTTAAATTACCATGAGATTTTATGTGGATACGTTCCAAAGAACAAAAGCAGACCTCTTTCCCTCCCCCCAGGCCGGTAATTTCACCTTGTAATAAGCTGTAGCTCTAAGCAATTCATGCGAAATAACTCCCAAGTCTTTCGGGAAGTCTAAGCCATTTTCTTCGAGGGAGGCATGGACACTCAGTCTGCCTTATAGAACGGAACAGAATAGAATTCTTTATTGGCCAAGGGTGACTGGACATCCAAGGCATTTGTCTTCGGTGCATAAGCTCTCAGCGTACATAAAAAAATGCATTCATCAAGAATAATAAGATAACAGATAATCAGAGTTGGAAAGAAACTTGTAGGTCATCTAGTCCAACCCCCCATCCAAGCAGGAGACCCTACACCATTTCTGACAAATGGCAGTCCAGTCTCTTCTTAAAAGTCTCAAGTGATGGTGCTCCCACAACTTCCGAGGGCAACTTCTGTTCCATTGGGTTGATTGTTCTCACTGTCGGAAAGTTTCTCCTTATTTCCAGGTTGAATCTCTCCTTGTTCAGTTTCCATCCATTATTCCTTGTCTGGCCTACAGGCACTTTAGAAAATAGATTGACCCCTTCCTCCTCTCTGTGGCAGCCCCTCAAGTATTGGAAGACTGCTCTCCTGTCTCCCCTGGTCCTTCTCTTCACTTGACTAGCCATGTCCAGTTCCTGCAACCGTTCTTCGTATGTTTTAGCCTCCAGTCCCCTAATCATTCTGGTTGCTCTTCTCTACACTCTTTCTAGAGTCTCAACATCTTTTTTATAGCGTGGTAACCAAAACTGGATGCAGTACTCTAGGTGTGGTCTTACTAAGGCTTTATGGAGTGGTATTAGTACTTCCCTTGATCTTGATTGTATCCCTCTGTTAATACAATTTAGGATTGCATTAGCTTTTTTGTCTGCTGCTGCACACTGCTGGCTCATATTTAGCTGGTTGTCCACTAAGACTCCAAGATCCCTCTCACAGTTACTGCTATTGAGATGCAACACTTGGTGATAGTCATAGGATACTAAATAAGCAATCAAAATCATACTGGGACACTAAATAAAACAATATAAATCGTAAAGATACAAGCAACAAGGTTATAGTCATAAGTGGGAGGAGATAGGTAATAGGAAGGGTGAGAAGAAGAATAGTAATACAGTCTTAGTAAATAGTTTGACAGTGTTGTGGGAATTAGTTGCTTAGCAGAGTGATGGCATACGGGAAAAACTGTTCTTGTGTCTAGTTGTTCTGATGTACAATGCTCTATAATGTGCCCTAGAACCTGAGTTTCACAACTTATCATTTGCTCAAAACCACAAGGGTGAGTGAAGGGAGGACTCTGTGAAGACAGACACATTTTCTGTACACTGGACCATGTAGAGAGGCCTTTTCTACAGGGAAATTTCTTATTGTGGGATCCTTGGTGCTCTCTGAACTCAGTTGTTTTTGTGGCAGATGTTTCACCACCCAACTAGGTAAACCATCAATGTTAGAAGGGAGAGGGGTTTGGTCTCTGTTTATACACAACTGGCTTTCCCTGTCAGCGTTGGTGAGAATGTTTTTGATGGTTCCTTGATAAGGAGGTTGTTTACTATTTCTTTGCCTGAGTTAGAGATTCCTTGATTGGGGTGTTGTTTAAGGCTTGGTTGTATAGAAACAGAGAGCAAACCCTACTCCCTTCTAGCACTGATTATGTTACCTAGGTGGGTAATGAAATGTCTGCAACAAAACAACCAAGCTCAGGGAGCACCAAAGATCCCACAGTTCAATGCTGAGCTATAAGTATTCTTATACTTATAGAAGTAGGTGAGAAGTGAAGTGAAGAACCAGTGCCGATGAATACCATCTGGGGATTTCATGGTCTACCACAAAGCAGAATTATGGTATTTTTCATAGAAGTTACTGACCTTTAATTTAGTGGACCCCTCATCCAAAGAAGCAACACGCCAGTCTGTTCTATTCTTGTTCTATTCTTGTTCTATTCTTGTTCTATTCTTGTTCTATTCCATTTCATTTCATTCCATTCCATTTCATTCTATTCTATTCTATTCTACCTCTACCTACCTATCTATCCTGTCTCTCATCTATCAATCTATCGATAAATCAACCTCACATCTATCCATCTATCTAGCTCTCTCATCTGTTTAGCTCTATCTATCTATCTATCTATCTATCTATCTATCTATCTATCTATCTATCTATTCATCTCCACCTAATTTCTCTCTCATCTCTCTCTCTCATCCATCTATCTGTGTCTGTTTGTCTATCTATCTATCTATCTATCTATCTATCTATCTATCTATCTATCTATCTATCTATTCTCCACCTAATTTCTCTCTCATTCTCTCTCATCTCTCTCTCTCATCCATCTATCTGTGTCTGTTTGTCTGTCTATCTATCTATCTATCTATCTATCTATCTATCTATCTATCTATCTATCTATCTATCTATCTATCTATAATCTCCCACTCCTTCTAGCATGGATGATGTTCCCTGGTTGGGTCATGAAATGTCTGTCAATAATCAATATCTATATCTATCTCTCTCTGTCTTTATTTCTGCATCTATCTCTCTATGAAAAAAAATATGCTACTTTCTGTTGGTTGGGAACGTGAGTGAAGTTGGATAAGTGCGTGTTTGTGAATACTCTCATGAACAAGACAAAGGCTTGTGGCTGTTATGAAGATGCTACCTGTGATGATGAGCCCATTAATTAGGGGAAATCTATTTGCTATCCAAGAGCAGCCTATTTAAACACAGGATGTGTTTTTCTCTTAGCACGAGGAAATTGCATGTCTTGCAACCCTTGACTTCTCCAGCACAGAAGAAAGACAAATAACTAATTGCACTACAGTTTTCCCAGCGAGCTTGTTAAAAGAAAATAATAAGTCAAAAGTCTGTTTTTCAGGCTTGTCTTCGCACTAGCGTAGTTGTGGCCTCTTGAGGGTTTCTGAAGCACTTTATTATTCATGTAGAAAAAATGCTGAATGTGGTGGTTCTCTTTTCGCCCCCTCCGATTAGTCAAACTTGGGGCAGTTGGTTTTTTTTTACTCTTGTGTTTCAACGGTCACTGCTCATTCATGCACCTGGGATGTGAACAGAGCAAATCTGAATTCATTCATCACAGTTGGCTACAGTTCAGTGCTGATAATTCTGGGGTCCAGGTTGCGTAAATATTTCCAACCTGGCTTGCTTTTGGTCATTCAGACAATTCTGATGGGAGCGGCAGAGGGGGATGCTTTCCCAAAGATAGCAATTGCACTTAGACTCATATACAAATTCACAGTGCTTTACAGCCCTCTCTCAGTGGTTTACAATGTCAGCATATTGCTCCCAACAATTTGGGTCCTTGTTTTACTGCCCTGGAAGGATGGAGGGCTGAGTCAACCTTGGTCAGAATCAAACTCCTGGCTGTGAGCAGAGTTAGCCTGCAATACTGAATTCTGACCACCATGCCACCTCTGGCCTTTTGAGCCTAGTATGGAAGGCTGAGTCAACCTTGAGCCAGTGAGAATTGAACTATTAGCAGTCGGCAGAATTAGCCTGCAATACTGCATTCGAACCACTGCACCACCACGGCTCAAGTTGTTTATCCCTTGTAAATATAATCTCTCTAATTTGAGGGACTGCAAGAACGGCATGAAATTTTTCCCCATTTATTCAGACAGGGAACAGTGCTTCCAGACCTGCAATTTTGTGATGCCTCCAGATAAATATATCTATATGACGTATATTTCTGGAAGAATGAATGAGCATGTTGTCCTTCCAACCAGCATTTTGAAATTACCTTAACAGTGAGAAAAAAATTAACTTTTTGCCTTCAGAAGTTGTGGTTGCTCCGTCACTGGAGGCTTTTAAGAAGAGACCGGACAGCAACTTGTCTGAAATGGTATAGGGTCCACCATTGTGGGTGGACGCAAAGCAAGCCTTAGGAGTAGAGAAACAGAAGACATTTTCCCCTCTTAAAAAAACTGCACAGCTTTCTTATAAATTAAATATAAGGGGAAACCTAAGCATGGCTGCAGGCCAAAATCTGTCTTGATGTTGTTTTGAAAAGGGGGCAATTGAGGTTTTGCATTCTAACATATCCTCCTTGTATTAACCTCAATGATGCTAGACTGGTAAAAATGTGGCCTCCATCAGGCACTGCAGACTAAGTAGCAGATCATCAGTTTTCTCTTTGCCTCTACTGCAAATTCTTGACTTTGCAGCTTCTAGAAGTGTCTATAGGAAATAAAGGGAGCAGCTGAGAGAAAATCATGGCTCCCCCATATTTCTATCTTGTGTAAGCAACCTCCAACAATGCTGGTGAACTTCAGGGTCTTCTCACCATTGGAAACAGGCAGGGCACAAACACAGCTGGGTCAACCCAAGCTGGCTTTGACCTGATCTTCCAGTTCAGGGAATTAAGACGAGCTGATAGGCTTCAGAGCATAGGGAGAGGTGTTAAAAAGATCAGGTTGAAAAATGGGGATCATAAATGAAAGGACCTCCTCCAGGGGAAAAGTTGAGAGCATTTTTCTGATATTATTATTGTTGTTGTTGTTATCATTATTTTCCTCTGCTGTTCTGAGTAAATTGTTTGAACAGAAGACCAAAGGGGGATCAAAATCAAGGTAGAAAGTACAGGTAATTGGTAGTTCTTGGGGGGCCACACCTTCTTCAGTCTACCGCAAGCTATCAGTTCAAATCATTTAGAAGTTCCTACTCTCCTTCCTACCGTGTGAGGAAAGAGAAATGGATTAGGTTGGAAGAGAAAAATAGAAAGGAAAGGAAAGATACGTAAGTAGATCCAAAAGAGGGAAAATGGGACCCCTAGCACCTTCATCAACCACCTTCATCAACCACCAGCTATCATTGGGCACTAAATATTTCCGTACATCTAACTCAATTGATTGTCAAGTGTGACAACCCAGATTCATGTGTAGAGTTCAAACAAGCTACTTTATTACTCTACACCTATTCTGCAGGAATCTTCTCAGACTGGCAGCTTTCATCTGGGAAAGACCAGATAAGGTTCAAAGGGATTCAAGGCAAGGCAGACCTAGTTCTCGTGTGTTTTTGCATAGCGAGCCTAGGCTAATTTCCCATTTCCCCTCCTCTTAATGCGGATGGTTGCTCTCTAACCTCAGTTGTGTATCGTCAAGTTGGTGTCAACCCTTTGCGAACACACAGAATGATTTTCTCTGTGATGATCTGTCTCTAACCTGGTCTTCAGGTTTTTCCAACCAATCATTGCTCTAACTCAGGGGTGTCCAACCTTGGCAACTTTAAGAGTTGTGGACTTCAACTCCCAGAATTCCTCAGCCAGCTTTGCTGGCTGAGGA